CCCCCCCCGTGGATCGGCTGCGTTCTCTGCAGGGCGGCTGACGCTGCTGCGGCTCCATAAATATTAAATGGGTATTAAAAGAAGGCTCTGCGTTCCCAGTTTCCTGATTTTTCCGAGCAGGGCCCGTTGCAAACCCCCTTTATGTGAAATGCAGCGTTTCACTGCGAGCGCCTCCCGGGAAGCCTTGCCGCTGCCTCTTCTGGCTGAGTCCCCTGGTGCAGAGCGGCTCTCCCTCCACTGCGGCTGACCGCAGGGCAGGCAGGCGCCCGCTTCTCGGGGGAGGGGTGGGTGGAGGCCCCTGGGACCCTCTTTCACAAGGCCTGTGCCTGGCCTGGCCAGCCTCCTTGCAGGGTTGTGGAGTGGGTGAGGGGGAGAGGGGCGATGACTCTGCAAACTGTAGCTGAGTCCTCTTGATACCCACCCTCTGCCAGGCCTGTGCTGGGCACTAGGGAAGGAGACTGGCAAGACACGTACTCTGTCCCTCCCTCCATCCATCCTTCCCTCCCTCCTTCCCTCCCTTCCTCCCTCCCTCCATCTCTCTGTCTCTCCGTCTATTCCCCTATCCCTCCGTCCCCCCATCCCTCCCTCCATCCCTCCCTGCATCCCTCCATCCATCCCTCCGTCCATACATTCACTAATTCTGTATTCATGAAGTATCTATGATAGGCCCTGGGGTGATAAGATAGTAGCTAACATTTATTGAGCACTTACCGTGTGCTGGGGTCTGTGATAAGCAGTTTACGCACATCACCTCATTTAATCTTCACCACTGTATGAGGTAGGTCCTATTTTTCTCTCCATTTTGTGGATGAGGAAACAGTGCCTCTGGCAGGTTAAGCCACTTGCTCAGGGTCGCAGAGCTGGTGGGGGCTAGAGCTGACTGATGCACCTGGATGAGTGAGGCAGACCCAGGCAGTGCCTCCAGGGGACAGCCAAGCTCTTCCTGGGACCCTGGAACGAGGATCCCGATGAAGGCCTCTCTGAGGAAATACTGGCTTTGCTGAGGGGTGAAGGGTGAGTCGGCTTTAGCCAGCCAGAGAGGAGGACAAAGTGGTCCAGGAGGAGGGAGGCGGAACCCTGGAGCCAGGCTGCCTGCGTCTAGCTCTCAGCGCCACCCGCTCTCTGTGCTAGGCTGGGCGAGAGACTCCTCTTCTCCATGAGGCACCTTGCTCGTCTGTGGTCTGGGAGGATAGGACACCTGTCTCATAGGGTGGTGGTGAGCCTCAACGAGGAAAACCCTTGTAAATTATGTGTCTGAATCGGTGGCTCTGAACAAGTACACAGCACCCGTTAGCTGGAGGCCTCCCCTGCTAGCGCCTGCTGGCCACAGGCCTGTGTGGCTGGAGTGTGGGCAGGGCCCACCGGCCATGGGTCCTCATCAGAGGAGCCACAGCAAGGATTTCAAGCAAGGGTGTGATGTGGTCAGCTTGCATTAGAGAAAATTCAGGTTCTCCAGGGCTCCTGGAGCTGCCCCCTTTGCTCACACTGGACACACAGATGCCCCAGTCCCTGGGCAGCACCTGCTCACAGCAGGCCGTTGATACACAGGTATCAAATGGAACTGAATAGTGATGTTGATGGTAACAGCGAATATTAGCTGACACTTGGTACCTGCTAGGCTCTGTGCTTAGGATTCCCATGCATTTAACCTGCACAGCTGCCCTGGGAAGTGGTGTTACTGCTATCAAACTCATTGTCCGGAAGAGGAGGCTGAAGCTCAGAGAGGTTAGGAAGTTGGCGTAAGGTCACACAGCAAGTCCGCAACACTGGGGCTCAAACCCCCCCAGTTCTGGGCTGTTGGAGCCCTGGATCTTGGCGTCTGCTGCCTGAGCCCTCTCCCAGGGTTACAGACAGCACGGGCATGGGCCCCCAGGCCAGCCTGCCTCACTCGCCTCAGAGGCCTAGCATGCTGTATCTGCTGTATCCGCTTGGAGAGCCTAGCAGGACAAGGAACAGGAGCATTCGTGCTGGGGGAAAAAGCAGATTTTTGTTCCTTGTCTCCCCCAGGGAGAGGAGGGCTATGTGTTGTGAATCAGGATTTTTTTTTGTGGGGTGGGGGTGGGGGAGGAGAAGGATATTGCTATTTACTGCACCTTGTGTGAGCATGATTGTCTAGATTTTTAAAAAATTAATAATCCATTTCTCCTTTGCACATAATTAAAATGTTCTCCAGTCTCTAATTTTTGTCATTTTCCTAATCTAATTTGTTTTCTGACTGTGTCGATCCTTCTTCCATGCGCAAAGCAGAGGGGATTTTTCTTCGTTTAACGTGACTGGGGTATGACTGTCAGGAATAGTTTAAATTATGTTATTTTCTCCTTGGTTAAATGCAGTGCAAATGGAATCGTGGAGGGTCTTAATGACCAAAAACCAAACCAAACCAAACCAAAACGAATCTTCAAGGCATTTCCTATTTACACAGTTAAAAAAATAATTATGGAAAAGAACGAGAAAAATAGGTGGTCCTAGTAAGGAGGCGTGGGCCGCCGTGTCCCGTGTGTGAGTGTCGGTCTTTTCCAGGGCCCACGTTTCCAGGATTCCGCACAGCCGAATTGGAATCAGTCAAAGGGACCTTTTCATCCAGTAAACAAACGCAAACCACACTTTCCAGTGAAAGAAATTTAAAAAAAATTATAACATTTGCAAGCTGCGATTCTAAGAGGATTCAAGGTTTGATTGGGAACATCAGAATTCCTGAGATCCTTATAAGGCATTGGGGAAGGTTTTTTTGTTTAAAGTAGATTCCTTACCCTCCTACCACCCCCCCACAGCCACCCCCTGAGCTGGTTGGTGTATGGCAATCTGTCTGGGAAAATCCCTTCTCCGGGCATTGCTAAAAGATGTCTTTAGGCGAAATTGATGTTGAGGAAGGAATTTGTGCCCGTGCGGTCTCCACCTGCTCGGGCTTGCAGGGGTGTGGGTGTGGGGCCGTGTGGGAGTGGGGTGTGTGGGGGTCTGTGGGGAGGGCTGGGGTTGGAGGCCAATCCTTCCTCTTCCCCAATTCCGAAAAGTAAAACTTACCTGTTTGCAGAACATCGACCGTTGTCTCGCCCCATCTCCCGGTCCCCCTGTGGGCTCTGCAGGATTTTGTCGAAGGAAAAAAAAACACCAGAAGTATTTAAACACGTCAGACCAGGCACGCATCCGTCCACGGCCTGGTGGGGTTTTTTTTGGGTCTCTCCCTCCTCTTCCCTTTTCATTTTACCAAAGTATATTCATCAAACTGCTGAGTTGGAAAGATTTGTAATGAGTTTCTGAGCTGTACCACTGTGTTTTTTCCCTCTCCCCCCGCCCTCTCTCTCTTTCTAAATCTTCATCTGACATTAAATAAAGCAAATCCCAAACAGATTAACTGTCGCACGGTTCTGCTCTGTCTCCTCAGTCTGTTTCCAGGTCTGGCGCGGGGCCGGGCGGCGGTGGCAGCGGTGGCGGTGGCGGCGGGAGATGCCCGGGCGGCCAGCGGACGTCCATGTGGCGCGCTAGGTGGGACCCCGGCGTCCTGAAGGCAGAGGCCCTGGCCCTCCTGCCCTGCGGCCTGGGCATGGCGTTCTCCCAGTCCCACGTGATGGCTGCCCGGAGGCACCAGCACAGCCGGCTCATCATCGAGGTGGACGAGTACAGCTCCAACCCCACCCAGGCCTTCACCTTCTACAACATCAACCAGGGCCGCTTCCAGCCTCCGCACGTGCAGATGTAAGTGGGCGGCTCTGGGTGGGACCGGTGGGGCGCGGGCCGTGATGGCTGCCCCGGGTGGGCTCACGGACTCGGGGTGCCTCCTGGCTTCCGGGCCCCACCGTTTCATGCTTGTGGGCCGAAACAATTCTGGAATCCCAGGATCACCGAGTTGGGAGGGACGCGTGAGAAGTTGCAGGGTGATGGCCTGTGGGCCGATTCTGGCCCGGAGTCCTGTTTCATTTGGCCAGAGGCACGTTTTACAAATATTTAAAAATGAGGTGATTGCACATAAAAATCCAGACTTTTGGCTTTGCTTTACAAAACCAAAAGGGCTGGCAACCCCAGGCCCACACATTCTCGTGGCAACATCGGGGGGCTGAGTCCCAGCTGCCCGCTCTTGGTATTTGGGTTGGTGACCCCTGGTCTTCTAACTCACATTCCTCCTTGTACAGCTGGGGAGACCGAGGCCCAGACAGGGGAGGGGACTTGCTGCAGGCCCCGTGGCAGGGTAGGACCTGGTCTTGGGCTGGCTGTGTTCCCTTCCCTCCGCCCCTCTGTTTTGTCCAGAATCCCGTGCTTCTGTTGAGAAAGCAGAGATGCTTTCCAAAAGGACTGGGGAGTTCTGCCCACCCCATGGGGTGGATGGAAAATACCAAGGATGCCCCAGCAGTGAGGCTATGGTGAGAGCACAGACTCGGGACCCCCTGTGCCCAGGGGGGGACTTTTCCCCTCCCTGGATTTTTCCTGGGGTCTGGAGATGTGTGGGCGGTCCAGAGTGGAGGTTGATCAATTCCTGGCCCTGCCCCGGGCGGCTCCCTGCCTTCCTAGAAGACCCTCCTCCTCCTCTATCCCCGCCCCTCCCATCAGCCCTGCACTGCAGGACTTACCAGGAAACAGAGGCCTGGACAGGTAGGTGACCTCCTCAGGTACAAACAGCTGGTCAGTGCCTGAGTGGACTGGAATGCGGGCTGCCCGCCTCCAGTCCAGGGCTCTCTCCAGGCCCCACATCCTTTAGCTGTGATGTCAGAGGATGCATACGTGTCCACTTGAGAGTTCAGACGTTTGTCTGCTTCCTCGTTGAACCTTCTCTCGGCCCCTGTGCTGGGTTTGGGTCACTGATGAGCCCCTGAGGATGGCGGAGACCGACAATTCCCCAGTGACAGCACAGGGAGGTCAGAGCTGTGATGGGGGACACTCCGGTGCCATGGGGTCCCGTGGGGCCCCTCCTAACCACCAGGCTGGGTCAGAGCCCCTGTGAGGGCACAGGCCCTGGCTTCTTCTAGGGCCCTGAGCACCATCTCCAGGGAGCAGTGGTAACGTGGGTTCTAGCGGCTGTCCCTTCTGGGAGAACAGAGGATCCAGCACGTGGACCGTAGAGCAGGAGCCGTGGGGGTTTCCAAACCCGGGCCTGGAGGTGGGGCGGGCAGGTTCTGCCTCTCATTACAGTGTATTTCCCTCAGGAGCTGTGCTCTGTTGTAAAGGGTGGGTCCAGAGAGATGATTCACGGGAGAAAGAGCCCCGGAAGGCAGGCGGGACCAGGCCTGGGGGTGGGCTCCAGGACTGGGAACACCCTCTTCCCTGCAGTGCCTGCTCTGGAAAATGCTCGTTTCCGTGGGGGCTGCAGGGCTGGCTTTGTCAGTAGCTGCCTACTTAATTTTTCGGTAGATTTCTCTTTGGGAAACTGCCTCTGATTTCCATTCTGGAGCCAGATTGGTGGCCTTGGGCAGGACGGAAGGCTGTGGCCCTCAGGCATGCTATTCCTTAGTCTCCAGGACCTTGAGACCTGGCGGGGCTGCCGCAGGGAGGGAGGCCTTCCCGGGGCTAGGTTTTTTCTTCTGTTGATGGGGTTAGTCCTCCCGGGGTGGAGGTGACCGTGTCTGAGGTCCCTGGATACCTGGCTGGACTCCTGCCCCAGCGGGAACGGGGGAGAGCACCGGGCCCACAGGCAGAGCAGGTGGGTATGTGTGTGTCTGTGCCCGCGTGCATGCCCATTTCGAGGGGTCCCCGGGCACCGTAGAGAATGCCGTGTAGTACCTGGTAGAGCTCTCATCTGCAGTGTCTCAGAACAGAGCTAGGGCAACAGGAAGTCAGGAGAGAGGAGGGCCAAGGGGCTGGGGAAGGGCCCTCCGGAGAAGATGACTTCTAGCTTGAGACCCAGAGAAGGATGAGTCGGGGGCAGCAAGTTGGGAGAGGGCTGGGAAAAGGGGGTGTCTGAGAACCGCAGAAACGCCCAGCTGGGTGGAGGAGCCCTCTGCAGGGGCTGCGCAGGCCAGGCCGTGTCCTGAGGAGGGGCAGTGACTGAGCAGATGAGGGAGGGATGATTCCTCCACTTAACCCACGAGCACCTGTGGGTCACTGGTTCGTTCATTCATTTATTCATCAGGATGTTTGTGAGCAGCTGTGTGGCATGCTGGTTAGTTAGGAACAGGCTCTGAGCTAGACTGCCTGGCTTTGAATCCTGGCTCTGCCACTTACTTGTGGGGTGGCTCTTGGTGCCTCAGTTTTCCCCATCTATAAAATGCTGCTCATAGCAATACTGAGGATTAAGTAGGTAAGTCCACATAGCGCGAGGCCGGGTCACAAATGTTCAGCATCGTTAGTACGCGCCGGGCTGAGCTAGGTGCCCAGCGGTGATCAAGACAGACTCCTGCCCGTGCTGAGCTGACGTGCCAGTGGTGTGGCGGACAGCACGCATGTCATAAGAGCGTGTAATAGTATGTGAGTCTGGTAGCGATAAGCGCCATGGAGAAAAGGCTTAATGACTTCCTGTGGTCGCTCAGCTAGAGGGGGCAGAGCAGATTCACAGGGGCCTGCCCCACTCCCATCCCTCCTGGCCTGCTCTGCGCTGCCTCCTCCTGAAGCCAGGGTTCCGGGCTTCCTTTGGCAGCAGGGCTGGGAGGCGGCTGCGGGTCTGGGCAGGGCCCGGGGCAGAGCATGCACCGAGCCCTGGGTCTGGACTCCTCGTCCAGTGCTCCCTCACTGCCTGCTCGGGCCACCTCGGCTTTGAAACACAACTTTGCACAAAGCTCGGCGAAGCCAGGGACTTGGTGCGGGGGTTCTGCTGCCTCCCACCCCGCTTCTTTCAGACTGCAGGTGGCGAGCGTGGGGAAGCGTGCGCGAGGTGGCTGTGCGGGTTTCCATGGCGAGTCTCCACGAGGGAGGGACGGAGGATGGATGCCGCTTCCCGCTGGTGATTTACCGCTGCCCGGGCTTCGTCTCTGGGCTGAGGGAGCGAGCGGGCCCTATTTCATAATCCCACACTTGATATCTAATAACAACAGCGACAGGCCTCGTGTGGCCTCTGCTTGAGCCCTGCGATTCGTGCAGCTGCCCCAGAGGCCCGGGCCGTAACGAGGCTGCCTTTGCCCGAGTAAGGAATCTCTGGATCTGGGCCTCCGGGTTTTGGGCCCTGAGACCGAAGACCCCTCGCTCTGGGGGCCAAGAAACCCTGCAGTGGCCTGGGGAGAGCCCCCCCAGGCACCAGCCCTTCCGTCCTGGGTGGGCTGGCGGACGTGTGGCCTGGTGGTCAGCGAAGAGGCAAGTGTAGTGTGTGAGGGACAGGGTCACCCTGGGGTCTGCCCTGTAGGTGCATCAGGGGTTGGCGCCAGGCCTGGCGTCGCTTCTCTCTGGCCCTAAAAGGAGTCCTGTTGGTGGAGACATGAATCATCCCCTTCAAGACCCTCCAAGCCCGTCAGGCTATGCGGGGTCCTTGGGGAATGTAGCAGATTGGGGGGCACTGCTGTGTGCCAGGCCTGGAGAAGCCCCTTTGTGCCTCCTGGCCCTTCGGCCTGCCAGGTGGGTGCGCTGATCCCCTCTCTAGACGAGGAGAAGGCTTCAGAAGGGACCCTGCGGCCCCCAGCCCGTCTGTGCCCTGAGAGGCCTTCAGGAGACGGTGAGGGTCAGCCTTGAGCCTGGGGAGGGGGCGAGGGGCAAGGCAGGAGGAGAGGACTAAACCTTGAACATTCCATTCTTCCTCCTGCCTCAGGCCTTTGCACATTCTGTTCCCTCTGTCTCCCCTACTCTTTGCCCTGTTAACACCGACTCATTCTTCATATCTCATCCAGGTGTCACTTCTTCCGGAAGCCTTCCCTGACCCCTCCCAGACCAGGTCTCTCCCCCTCCCTTGGCCCCCTGCCCACACTGTATGTGCTCAGAGCCTCCCCCTTCGTGGCTCGTGCTTCAGCCTGTGGTTATACATAGAGTCTCCCCTGTACCAGCACGGGCTGGTCCCTCGAGCCTAGCACAGTGGATGGACAGGAAGAAGAAAGAACAGGGAGCTAGGGCGAGGCAGGGAGCATGGCCCAGGAAGAGGGGATCAGAGAGGGCCTCCTGGGGGCGGCGGCATAACCCCTGGGCTAGGACGACCAGCACAAGCACAGGCTGAGAGGTGGGAAGGAAGGGCAGGCGCGGGGACACAGGAGGGCAGCGTGGTGGGGGCCACCGTGGAACCAGTGCTTCGTGGAAAGAGCGCTGGGCAGTTGTGTGACACTGAGCCAACCAGTCACTGCCCCTCCCCTGGGCCTCAGTTTCCCCACTTGTAAAATGAGAGGAAGGGCCTAGTGGTCCCTCTTGTTCTAAAACACCATGGCTGATGCCTAGTCACGTGGGTGGACGTGTTGTTAGAACCTCCCTGGAGGAGTGAGTCTTCTGACCCCCCTGGGCCTTCAGAGCTCCGCGTTTGCTCGGAAAGAGAGATAATGGGAGGATGGCCTCTGCTTCTGGTGCCCAGGAGTCTTTGGCACCAGGAGCTGCTCTTCTAGGGAGCCAGGGGCGCATGGCAGAGAGACACCCGAGAAGGGGTCAAGGCCTGGGAAAGGGGCGGCAGGAGAACTCACATTGGGGGTTCCGAGCTGTGAAAGTGATTGAGTTCTCACAACATCTCTGAGAGAGATGGGTCGTCCCCACCGCACAGAGCTGGCCTGGGGGCCAGCTGGGGGGTCCAGGGCACAGCGAGCAGGTCACTGAGCCGGGGTGCCAGCTGAGGTCTGGGCGCCGGAGGCCGCCGTCTCTATTCTGCACCGTGATTCCCATGGGAAGATCCCGTGTTAGGCTGGGGAGAGGCGGTGACGGTGTCAGGTCTCAGGGAGAGAGCCGCAGCCTTCTTCTCTCTGGTCCCTGCAGAACGTCACTGGGAAGTAACCCAGTTATTGCTTTGTTGTTTCTTGTTACAGAAGGTGTTGAGGTTAGATGCCCAAATTCCTGTTGTGAAGACCCAGGTTCAAATCTACTCTTTAACTTACTAGCTGGGGCCTTGGACATGGGACTAGCTTTTCCGGGCCTCAGTCACTTACTCTGCAGGGCTGCTGTGACTCAGGTGTTTTTCCATTACTGGTCTCAGAAACCCAATTTAAATTCTCTTAGGGATAAAAGAGGGTTTACTGGCTCACATAATTAGCTAGGAAGTCCAGGTTTGGTGCCAGCTTCAGGCACAGCTGGATCTAGGGGCCAAATAATGCTGTCAAGCCCTCCTACCCTCTTGTATGCTCTCTTTCTCCATATCTTGACTCTTCTTGTTCTTTTCCTCACTTACAAACACAGGCTGGGTTTCTGGGAGTCTCATGAGGTGGCCTCTGTGGGTGTCCTGTCAACGGCTATATCCCTTGCGCCCAGCAGGTGCCTGACATGTAGAAGGCACTTAATCAGCATTTGTCCACAGAGTGACTGAATGAAATGAACTAGGGCCTGGAAATAGTCCAGCCTGGCGTGAGTTCTGGAACCAAAAACCAGCTTCAAATTTCATCTCCACTGGCTTCCATAGCTGAGATCCTGGGCAAGTCAGCCTTTCCTGAGCTTCAGTTTCCTCATCTGTAAAATGGGCATACCCGCAGTACCCTCCTGGTCATTGTGAGGGAAGAGAGTGAACATGTGGAGTGCTTAGCACATAATGAGCCCTCAATCCATGGGGATCATCGGTGTCATTACTGTTGTTATTTCTTCAAGGTTGAGCATTTGTTACAGTCAGACAGCCAGAGGACGGTGCAGGGAAATGAGAGTCTTTAGTTTTCTCTCTGAGGATTATTAGGTTTGCGTCCTCACTGAGCTCAGGAGCCTCGGGGTGGAGGGAAGTACGAACAGAGTTAATTAAAGAGCTCGGGCTCCAGCAGCAGGCCCAGCCCGACCAGAGCCCTGGGAATCCGCACTGCTCTTGGCTGGCTGATGGCGGGGGAGAGATTGTTAGGACCAGAGGCAGCTCTGGAGGTGGCATTTCACTCCCTGCCTCTCCTTTCTTTTTGTCTCTTTGATTTGGTCTCTGTCACCTTGTGGCATGCTCAACCTCAGTGTGTGTGTGAATGAATAAACGAATGAATGAATGAATCTGGTGGGTTCGCTGGTATTCCTGTGCTGGGCCAATAGCCCCATAGTGATTGGCTGCCCTTGGTCCAATCAGCTGTGTTGGGGGCGGGCAGGGTGTGAGGTGGATTCACAGGCTGGCTCCCTGCAAGCCTGTCTGTGGTATGGTGGGGGCACCCAGAGGACAGAGGATGGCGGGAGTTACTGGGAGGGAGATTTTAGCTTCTAGACCAGTGCAGGCACCACCTCCTCCTGGAAACTTCAGGGGTCCTCAGGCCGGGTGAGGGCCTTCTCTGGCCCCCAACCCTCTGCTGCCCCAGCAAAGCTGGTGGCTTTATTGTCACTCCCTGGCCAGGGCTGTCTCCACCATCAGTCTGGGGCCTCCTGGCCTGGGATCAGGCCTGGTTCATCCCTGTGGCCCCAGCACTGAGCCCAGGGCTGGAGCACAGTAGCTGGTTAGAATGTGCTGTGTTGAATGAATGAATGAATGAATGAGGAGGGAGGTAGAAGAACTCCCAGTGCCTTCCTATTGGTCATCATCGGACTCACTCAGGGAATTTTCTTCTCCTCCCCGGTCCCGCCCAGCTCTGACCTGCTAGGATTCTAACTGGGCTTAAGAACCCCAGAAGGGGCCAGCGCGTGCCCTTCCCATTGCGGCACTGTGACGGGGAGAGGCTGGCGTGGCGCCTCCGACGGTGGCGGATTGAGGGTGCTCGTGCTCCCCGCACATTAGCATGCCGAACCCACGTCTCTCGTGAGGTGTTAATTAAATTTCTTCGAAGTATATTGTCTGAAAAAAAAAAAGGATAATTAGAAAGATGTCTTTAAAGGTATTTATGTAACTGATATGGTACTGCGTTTGGTTTGCCGCATAATTAGATTTAAACACAACTCCTCGAGCGGCAGACTCATTTGGAGAGAGCTGCTCATTGAAATGTCATTGCGTTGTTTTTAAGAGTTTTGAGCCTGGCAAAATCATTCGACTGCGGAGGCGAGTGTGGTGGGGAGAGCCCTGCGCGGGGAGCGGGGAGCTGGGTCCCTCTCCCGCAGCCTGCATTTATTCCCTGGGACCCCGGGGCTGCTTGCTCAGTGTCCTCCTCTGTGAAACGAGAGGGCCACGATGGCCCCCGGGGAACGAGCACTTACGTTTCTGCAGCTCTTTTTGATTTGCTAAGTACTTTTGCCTAGTGAGGGAGCTCCATTTCACAGATGGGCAAACCAAGGCCGAGCGTTTGCTTAAGGTCACACATGAGTGACAAGCACAGAGCTGGGGTTGGAAGCCTGGTCTTCTGATTCCAGGACCATTTTCTTACACAACCCTGGACAATCCTTATTTTATATGTGATCAGACCATCTTCTAGTTTTGAAAAATTGCCGCTGGTCTCCAGTGCCTTTATTTCACACGTGGCTCTCCTCGGATGCTCTGCACAGCTCTGGGGAGTGAGTTCTTTCCACTGGACCGCGACCTTTAGTCCATGCATTCTCAATGGGGCCGATAGTACCCCCAAGAGGGTGAAAACTGATTTTTTGGGGGATGAGAAAAGGTACTCATCTTGTTATGAAGCGCAGATACACATACCGTAAGTGAACAGATATGCAGCATATCTGTGGTGTTAAAATTTTGTGGGAGGGGGCGAGTGGGGAAAAAACGTCTAAAAAGGCCCCTCAGGGGGATGACGGAGGTTGAGAGGCAAACAGCAGGTTAGTTGCAGTAATTGTACAAGCTGCTGGTGAGCGCCAGGCTCTAACCGCCAGTCCTTCCCACCTATGACCTCTCTTAACCTCACAACAAACCTCAGAGGTTCCCGTGTTACAGAGGGGAAACTGAGGCTCAGGGGAGAAACAGTTTTGCCGAGCTAGTGAGCGGGAGAGTCAGGACTCAGTGCCGGGTGGGCCCGAGGGGAGGGCTGGGCACTGGGTGCCAGTTGGGGTTGATGTGATCGGGGTGCTGGAGACGCATGCCATGCAGGCTCACGGCCCCGTGACCACAGTGTCTTCTCTCCCTGCAGGGTGGACCCGGTGCCTCATGACGCCCCCAAGCCACCTGGCTACACCCGCTTCGTCTGTGTGTCTGACACCCACTCAAGGACGGACCCCATCCAGATGCCCTACGGCGACGTGCTCATCCACGCCGGGGACTTCACAGAGCTGGGGCTCCCCAGCGAGGTGAAAAAGTTCAACGAGTGGCTTGGTAGGTGCTGGGCAGGAGGTGGCCTCCCCTTGCTCTGCCCAGTCCCCTCCCGGCCTCTGTCTGCCTTTCTCCCTCCCCTGGGGAGCCTCCCTGACCTCCGGGACTGGGTCATGCCCATCTCCCTCTCCCGTTGCTCGTGGACGTCTCCTACCCCGGCCCTTATCTCGGCAGTGACTTTCCATTTGTTTGTGGGATGTTTTGGCCTGGGAGGCCCCTTTTTGTCCACTTGCGTGTCCAGCCCCCAGGGGCTTGACAAATAATTGATGAATGAATGAATGAATGAATGAGTGAGTGAGTGAGTGGCTGAAGGGGCAAATGAATGAATAACTCTCCAGGAACCCTGATGCCAGGTATATACTGGCTCAGCTACCCGCTGCCATTGAGACGGCTTCCCTAGTGAGGGACCCTCCGGGCCTCCATGGCCCCCAGCCGGGGCCTGGGGGACCAGATGTGGGCTCCTCCTGTGGGCCGCTATTGGCGCAGGCAGCGGAGCGCCGTCCCACGTGATGCACGCCAGTGGGCGATGATTTGCAAGCACGCCTCCAGGGTTTTGTCTTGGCTTTTTGCTTTCTTCCAAAATAAGAAAGACATAAACCTGGTGTGCCCCCTGGGAAAAGCCGCTTGCTTGGAATCCAGAGAAACCTCACAGCGAATTTTCTCTGCCAGGGCCCGGGGGGGACAGGTGGATGGCCCCTAGGCAGCCCTGCGCACTGGCCTGCCTTCTCGGAGGTGTGGGTGTGAGGCCGGCCCACCTCCGTGTGCAGCCCCAGGCGGCCGCCAGACGTCCCCGCCTCCCCAGGGACGTCCTGCTGTGCAGTTGGCTGGGAGCTGCGTGAGCAGAGGACCAGGAGCGAGGCGGTAGCTACAGCGAGCAAGAGGCCTGGCTTTGCCAGTCGAGACAAATATTTACAAGCAAGGCCTTCCCCTCCGCTTGGCAGGCTCGGAGCTTTCAATGTTGATTTTTTAAACGGGAAATTCTAATCGAGGGCCCCCTTAGGGCTGAAACACGTGAAGGCTGGGGTGGGAGTGGGCTCCTGCGGCCGGGCCTGCTCCAGGCTTCTCACCTTGCCTGGGTCTGGGCTGCCTCCTAGGAGGGGACCCTTGCTGAGGCTGGCTTCTTGTGCCCCCTGCTGTGGGGCTCAAAAGATGTGAGGCTCCACTGGCTGAGCCAAGAATCTGTGTCCAAGGCTGATGAGAGGAGTGGCTGTTGGCCAGGAAGCTGCTGTGTGCCAGGCCCAGGGTGGCGGGCTCCTTACTGCCACTGCCTGCTTGAGTTTTGGGAACAGCTGTTTGGGGTGGGTGCTGTTCAGATCCCTGTTTGATTGAAGAGGAGTCGGGCCCCCGCACTGAGGTTCTCGAGGGTGGGACTGTTCTGGTCTAGCCCCTGGCCCACACCGTGCTCCCCTCGGTGTGGCGTGAACGAGTGACCAGACGCTTTCGCACGCGGTGGGGGTGGGTGCCGAGTGCCGTGGGTGCTCAGCACGGGCACTGACCACGGCCTCCTCCTAGGCAGCATGAGGCCTCTGGGAGATGCTGGCTTTGGCTGGGCCTTGTCTCTGGATCGGGAGTTTGAGGCCGAGGGGCAGCTGAGGCCACAGCATGCTGCTGGACATTTGAGGGAAGTCATGATGTGTTGTGGCGGAGGAAGGGGTTTGGAGGATGTGAGGGTGACAGGCCTGGAAAGAGGGTTGGGGCCTGACTGTGACGATGAAGGAAAGGGGACACCAGGGGCTGGCAGGGCCAGCACGGTGAGATGGGCGCTTTAGGAAGATCTCTCTGCTGGCCTCTGCACAGAAGTCAGGCCGTGTGCTGGGGAATCAGGAGGCCTGCTGCACAATTTGCACGAGGAGTTGGATTCATTTATGTGCCCGGGTTATTGTGGGTGGACAGTGTGAACTTACAAAGGGGTCTTCCTTTCACAAAAGGTTCCTTCCCCCGGGCCTCTCCCCTTGGCGGCCTCCAAGTGTTTGCAGATGGCAGTGCTTGTCACTCAAGCTGGGGTGGGGGGGGCTTCACAGTGAAGCACGAGGAGCCGCTCTGTCCTTGCTGCAGCGTGAGGGGTGTGCATGAGAGTGAGAGCGTCAACAGGAGCAGCGTGGGGAGGTCCGTGTGCACTGGCTTCTGCACGGTGAGGCTCGCCTCTGAGGGCTGGCGGCTCAGGTCCCCGGGCACGCGGGGTCATGACTGAGAGACAGGCTGGGTGCTCCACAGAGACGGTTGGTGCGTCTGGATGGAGGTGTTTCTACAGAGAGCTAGTGTTCATTGAGCGTTGATATGAGCCGGGTGCTGTTCTGTGCCCTTGTGTGTGTTATAGATAATTTATTCCTCCTCACAACAGAATGAGGCAGGAGCTGTTGTCCTCCCCATTTTACAGAGGAGAAAACCGAGGCCCAGAGAAGTGAAGTGACTTGCCCAGGGTCACACAGCTAGTAAGTGGCAGAGCTGGGATTCACACCCAGGCAGCCGGACTCCGGAGCCAAGCTCTCAGCGTCTCCTCTCGCTCTTCTCATGGTAAAACTTCTCTGGTTCAAAGGAAAGGTGTGGATTGTGCCATTCGAGGCCAGACATCCTGGGTCTGCTTCCTACCCAGGTGACTGCGGCAACCATGTGACTCTCTGAGCCTCTGTGGCCTCATTTTAGATGGAGTGGTCAGGCTCCCTGTGCTCTGCCCACCTCCAGAGGTAGTGTTGAGGCTCTCCTGGGATGATGGAAATGATCAAGTTTTGTAAACTGTAAAGTACTGAGTGGATGTTATTGTTGTCGCCATGAACTGGTTGCCAGATCAGGGCTCACACATGTACACACACACACACACACACACACACACACACACACAGAAGAGTGGAAGAATATTCATTCATCCGTTCAGGGTACCTCACTGACAGCTCACTGTGTGTCTAGCGTGTCCCAGGCACCGGGTGATGGTGGAGAGTGAGGGACAGTGGGTTGACAGATACACGCAGAAGCAGAGAGAACCATGAGAGTGACAAGTGTCTACAGAGCACTGGCCCAGGGGACGTGATGGTGACTGAGAGCCCATTTAGCTAGGTGGTCATGGAAGGCCTCCCTGAGGAGGTGACCTTGGGCGAGGCATGAGGGTGAGAGTGAGGCAGATGCAGGAGGCACGTTCCAGGCAGAGGGCACGGTGGCTGCAGAGGCCCTGAGCCGGGAACAGGGAGGAAGGGAAGTGTGGAGCAGGAGGGTTGGGGGAGGTGGGCTGGCACTGGTTCACACAGGCCCCTGGGCCAGGGCCGGGACTTTGGGGTTGAATCTAAGTCTGATGTGAGCTTCGGGGTTTGTGGAGGGGAGTGGCCTTTAAAAGGGTGTTCGAAGGCCTGGATTGCAGAGTTAGAGTGGAAGTGTGGAGGCCAGTGAGGGCAGAGGCTCCGGAAGGTTCTAGAATTGATATCTGGGTGGTGGGGTCTTGGGGAATTTTTATTTTCTTCTTTATGGTTCTCTCTCTTTTTTTCCCCTGATTTTCTACAGGGAGCATGTGTTATTCTGTTAGCGTCAAATAAAGGCAACACTAAAATCTCGTTGTTTTTAAAGAGATGTTGGCCTCTCTGGTGTCTGGTGCACAGTGTGTCCCGGGATGAGGGTGGGGCAGCACTGGCCTCAGGTCAGTCCTGGCGTCACCGAGCCCCTCAGAAGGTCTCCCTGAGCTCCCTCCCCAGGCCAGTGGGGCCCCGCCCCTCCTCCTCCCGGTTGAGAAAGTTACAGATTTGAAATTCACAGCCAGCTCCTTCCCCATCCATTGATCTCATGGAAAGCATTTAAAATCATATTCCAGTGGCCACCTCCAGACAGACAAGAGGAGATTTAAAAAATTAATAAAGGCCCTCTTTGTAAGACGAGATTAGGCACCTACCTGGGGACTCGTGTGGCTAGGATCACGCTGACTAATTTGCTGTGGGTGCACTGCTCTGCGTGGCTGTGAGTGGTGTCCGTGTTTTGCCCGATTACAGGCTCCTTTCTGGGTCTGCGTTCATTGAAGGGGCTGGGCTGGGGGTGACAGGGCCCCTCTGAGCAGACCTTCTTTCCCACTGGCCATTAATATCCCAAATTTATTCATGAGATAGAAATGCAGCTTGATTTGTAAATGTCCCAGTGAGCAGCTAAAACATTGTTACAGATGGGCTTTCCAAGCTATAAAGAGTGAAAGGAAAAGGGAAACTTGCTGAAAATGGAAAAGAATGTGCTGGAAGCTCCTTGCTGCTCCACAGCTAATGACATGATGATCGACGGGCAGCATGGAGCCCCCAGACTGGCTGGTTCAAGAAGTTGTGTCTGTGCAGGGAGGTGGGACAGCAGGGAGGTTAAGAACTCCCACCTGGAGGTCAGGCAGACCTGTCTTCACCCCTGCTTCGGCCTCTTATTTGCTGTGTGATGTTAGCTTAGTCACTCGACCTCTCTGTGCTTCATCTGTAAAATGGGGAGAATTGTGTAGGGTTTCAGGGAGGATTGAAGAATAATGTTCCCATATGGTGCTTAGCACATTTGGGGCACAAGGAGAAGCCCTCAGGAAGCGGCCACTGTTATCGTGAAAACCCTGCCTCTCCCTGATCTGAGCCCGCCTGCGCGCTACCCGCCCTCCCCACCAAACAAATAGACCAATCAACCAACCTCAGCGTCAGCCTCCATTTCCTTCCGCCACACTGGCCAACTCCACTCATCATTCTAGAACCCATTCCCTACTCTGGGCTTTGGCTCATGCTCGGTCTGGGAACGCTCTTTCTCCTCCCCCCCGGGAGAGTGCTACCCACCCCTCGCATGTCGCCTCCGGTAGAGCCTCCGCTGGCCTGCTGGGCAGCATCGGTCCCTCCTCCCTCTGCACCCAGAGCTCCCTGCTCAGGCCTTGGTGGTGGCCCTCCCTTGTGGCAGGGGATTATCTGTGTCCTCATGTCTCCCTGTCCCCCCAGCTAGACCATCAGCCCCTGGAGGGCAGGGTCGAGCCTCATCCCCAGTGCCAGCCAGCGCTCGGCCCGGGGGAGGCCTGGACA